CTGGGGCGAGGGCCGGACTGGACGCGGCGCGCCTGATCCGAGGAAGGTGAGTCTGCTTGGGCACTTGTAAGTCAGGCTTCAGGCTGGGGACGTGGCTCAGTGCAAAGAATTTGTGTTCAAACGCCCAATACAAAGAGAGAGAAGAAAAAGTAAAATAAATGCAGGTTTCTGAGAGGAACCAGCCCTTTCTGTCTACACCCAAGCTAGGTGACACCTGCTGTCCCTTCCAGACTAGATCAGCAGCCTGGAGTCCGGGCCTCGTTCAGTTGTGGGCCCAGACAAAGCCCTGCAGGTCCCTGCTGCCTCCCTGCACACAGGCAGAAGGGAGCTGCCCTGTGCCCTCGACGGAGAGGGAGGGAAGGGAGCTCGGCCTGGGGTGTGGGGACCGCGGTACAGATTCTCCCTCTGCTGCCTTCTGCCTGGCTGGTGCACGGTGCTCCAGGGAGGAGCACGGTGTCTTCTCAGACCCCTTATTTTATGGATGAGATAACTGGACCAAGAAGAGGAAGGGACCTACTATCCTGGGCCGCAGGTCTTAGGACTCCAAGGTGAGGGCTGTACCTAATGAATCGGCAAACTGGCGGCAGGAACTGGTTCTGTGCCATTTTTTGTAAAGGCTGTGAAGTGAGAATGGATTTTACATTTCTAAAGGACTGTTTAAAAGGAGAGAGAGAAGAATGTGCTACAGAGGAATACGGCTTCTACAGCTTCTACAGCGTGACCTGTCCCCTGCACCACCACCACACCAGCCAGTCCTCAGACCATCACATGTAGACTTTATCTACTTTTCTGCCATAAAAATAAGTGAAATACTAAGTGATTAGGTGATTTCAGCACCTGCCCTTCTTCCAGCCTTTTAGGTCTTCTGTCACTTCTTTTTTTTGTGTTTGTTTTTGTTTTTGGTACCTAGGATTGAACTCAGACCCTTGCGTTTGCGAAGCAGGTGGTGGAACCACTGAGATAACTCCCCAGCCCTTTTTTGGTGTTTGTTTCTGTTTTTTTTTATGAGATAGGTCTGGCCATGTAGTTCAATGTGGTCTTGGACCCACGGTATAGCCCTGGCAGGCCTCGAACTCACAGTGATCCACCTGCCTCAGCCCCCTGAGTGCTAGGATTAGACATGTGCCCCCACGCCTGGCTTGTCACTTCTGTAAATGAGGGGCAGTTCTGTAGGTTTGGTAAAATAGTTTGCACTGCTGTAATTTTCTGCTAGTCCAGATCATTCTCCTTCAGGGCAAAGGGTTAATGAAAGTTAATTATTTATACCCTGAAGGATCGAAGAATGACAACAAAACAACAAAAAAAGAGAATCAGAGAGTTGGGCCTCCTCAGCTGGATACAAGGACTGTGACTCAATTAAGTTTACCATCATTCTTAGAATAATAGCCACAGGGTGTTGTGACTGTAGCACGGTGCTTTGGAGTCACTAATACAGTGACTCATCTCAGCAATTTCCTATTGTCAGTTTCTCCCCACCAGCTTTGGTCTTGTTGCTGTTGGGGATTGGACCCAGGACCTTCACACTGAGCTACATCCCCAGCCCTCTTTTATTTTTTAATTTTGAGATGGGGATTGTTAAATTTCCCAGGTTGGGCTCCAACTTAACAAACAGTCCTCCTGCCTCACTTGCCAGAATGCTGGGCTTATAGAACCTACCTGGTTTTCCTTACCAGTTTTAAAGCTGAAGGAAGGCAGGCTGTTTGTAGCCTGCTGCCCACTTCCTTTGTTCATTTGGTTTTGACATCCACAGGTATGTGGTCTTTACCACAAAACATCATGAAGGCTTCACAAACTGGCCTAGTCCGGTGTCTTGGAACTGGAACTCCAAGGACGTGGGCCCCCATCGTGATTTGGTGGGTGAGTTGGGAACAGCTCTTCGGAAGAGGTATGTGTCTGTGGACAGCTGCCTGTTCTCTCTTCTGCTCCAGCCTCCAGATTTCTCACCTTCCTACTCTCGTGTGTTGTGTGTCCTAAGTTTGCACTTAGCAAGTAGTCTGAAAGGCTTCTGCCCTTTGAATTTCCAGTATCGGAGGCTTAGAGGTTGTCATGTGACCAATCATGACACCACCAGAGAAGTTCATGGCCTTCACTTTAAGAACAAGTTAAGCAACTCCTGTCACCTGCTCCGTATTTCATTCCCGATGCTGTGCTTTGCAGTTGTTGTAAATGTTGATCAGATCTTAGATGCTGATTAGATCTGGAATTAGAAGCTGGACATCTTCTATGTATTAGTTTAATCACGTGATAAAATGCCTACCTGCAGTTCCTTCGTAGTCTGTGTACTGCAGCCTTATCCTTAACTTCTTACTTGCATTGTAATGTTTTGGAAACACCATTCTTTTTTTAATTGATTCATAATAATCGTGTGTACTTATGGGGTCTGGTGTGATAATTCACTACATGTATGCAACATGTATGACCAAATCAGGGCAATTAACTTTTCCATCTCTTTAAACAGTTATCATTTGTTTGTGTTGGGAGCCTTCAACCCACCACCTCCCCTTTGCAGTACTGGAGACTGAGCCCAAGGCCTGGTGCATGCTAGCTAAGTGCTCTTTCACTCCACCTCCCCAGCTCAACTCTTTTCTTCTTGTTCTTTAGAAAATATATAATAGGGCTGATCCCTAGCCATGCAAAAAAAAGAAAATATAAATGTTACAGCCAGGCATGCCAATACATATCACTGAACCTAGCTCCTCAGGAGTCTGAGACAGGAGGATCACAAGTTCAAGGCCAGCCTGGGAAAATTCGTAAGACTCTGTCTCAAAATAAAATTTTTAGCCAGGCATGGTGGCACACACCTGTAATCCCAGCACCTGAGATGCTGAGTGAGGCAGGAGGATCATCATAAGCTCCAGGCATAGTTCAGGGCCAGCCTAAAATACATAAATTCTGTGTCAAAAAGACAAATTTTAAAAGAGGCTGGTGATGCAGCTCAGTGGTAGAAAGCTTGCCTGCATAAGGCTCTGTGTTTAATCCCCAGGACTGTGCAAAAAAAAAAAAGTAGTTACAGACAGTGTTACCCAAAGCTGTATACCAAATCTTCTTGCTGAAGTGAATGATAAGAAATAATTTAGGAAGATGGCTTTGGATCCCATCCTCCTACATACCCTATAGGTAAATTTCACTGACACCTAGAAGATGCTGTAACAGATTTTTCTTAAACTTTAGTTCTTTGTTTAATGACAGTTGCTGCCATGTCTTTCTGTTTAAGGAACATACGCTATGGCCTCTACCACTCACTCTTAGAGTGGTTTCATCCGCTATACCTACTTGATAAGAAAAATGGCTTCAAAACTCAGCATTTTGTCAGTGCCAAAACAATGCCAGAGCTGTATGACCTTGTTAACAGGTAAGAAACAAGTGTTTGCCTGTGTTTTGTCAATGAACTCAGAGCTTCCTATTAGGTACTTTTAAGGAGGGGAGGGGTAAGCTGGGTATGGTGGCACACTCCTATAATCCCAGAATTTAGGAGGCTGAGGCAGGAGGATTGCCATGAGTTCAAGGGTAGTGGACTACAAGTGGAATACATATTGTCCTCCAAGCGGGGTGAGGGGCTGATACATATGACAAAAAACTAGAAGATATCAAAATAAGATTGGTGGTTGTATTAAGGCAAAATTCATTTTTCTTCTCTACTTTTCAAAATTTCTGTAAGTAGTTCTATTGTCTTTGTAAACTGAAACAGGTACAAAAAATGCAGGACGATGGTAAAGTCAACTTCAGGTCCCTCCTTGCCTGCAGTTTTCCCCTGTCAGGACCTTGGAGAGCATACCATTTATCCAAGGTGTAGCTTGGTTCTCCTTGTCTCTTACAAGCCCAAATCAGACCATGTCTGAGCCTCAGATCCCCACTCTGTAAAAAGCCTGACTGTCTAGGGCTCAGGATAACGTGTGAAACATCTGTGTCACAGTGCTTAGTGCAGGGTAGGGGGTGGTATTGCTGTCATTACCATTATCTTAATTTTGTCATTATCTGTCACTTTGGGCTTTGCCACTGCTGTTTATATTTTATCCTTCATTTGCCTCATCATACCTGAGGGCTCTTAGGATGATGACTCATCCAGAGTTTCAGACAAGCCTGGGCAATTTAGGAACACCCTGTGTCAAAATAAAACTTTTAAAAAAATAACTTGGGATGCAGCACAGCGGGAGACACGTATCTTGCATGCACAAGGTTCTTATGTACCCATGTCTCCCCACGCAAAAAAAGGGGGGCAAAGAAGAAGGGGAGAAAGGGAGAGGGAGAAGAGAGAGAGAAAAAAAAGGAAGGAAGGAAAGAAAGAAAGAAAAAAGAAGAGAGTAGCTTCTTCAAGGCCAGAAAGATAACGGAATTTCTGATCGAGTAACGGGCAGGTCTCTTCAAGATGTAGGCCTTCCTTAGTGAAGTCATCTTAGGATGGGGTCTGATGCAAGAGGAGTCCCCCCACCACCACCAAAATGAGAATCCAGACCCAAAAAGTTGCCTCTTGCCAGTGCAGTCGTGAACACCTGTAATCCCTGCACGCCGGAGGCTGAGGATCTTCCTTAGTGAAGTCATCTTAGGATGGGGTCTGATGCAAGAGGAGTCCCCCACCACCACCAAAATGAGAATCCAGACCTAAAAAGTTGCCTCTTGCCAGTGCAGTCGTGAACACCTGTAATCCCTGCACGCCGGAGGCTGAGGCAGGAAGGTCACAGTGAGTTTGAGGCCATCCTGGGCTACAAAGTGAGTTTGAGACCAGTCTACACCGTGAGACCCTGGCTCAAGAAACCAAAAACACAGGCCAGGAAGTAGTTGGCAAGTGCAAGGTCCTGAGTTGAATCTCCAGTATGTGATGGGCGGGGGGCCGGGAGGGCACACATAACCCTTTAGTTTTGGAGAACCTCTCTTTTGCAATGCTGGGGATAGAACTCAGGGCCTCCTGCATGGTACACCGCTGTTACATTACCAGCCCAGAAGCAATACTTTTAATTGGCATTAGTCACTGAGAGGAAACCAGATTACGCATACACAGATTATAGCTCCTATTTCCTGCTTTTTTTTTTTATTGGCACCAGGGATCGAACTTGGGACCTTGCCGCTTGCAAGGCAGGCGGCAGCACCACTGAAGCCCCGGCCCTATAGCTCCTATTTCTAAAAAGGGGTAAAGAAAAAAATGAGGAGTATATGTACCAAAGTGCTGTGTTGGTTTTAAACAGTAGTTATGTTAACAAAGTGATTCTTTTTATTGTTACTGCTATCATCTCTCTAGTTTTCCATATCCTCTGCATTGTGGCAATCTTATGGTACTTTTAAAATTGGAGGAATTCATTTTCAGTGCTGGGGATTATACCTAGGGCCTCATGCATGCTGGGCAAATGCTCCATCCCTGAACTATGCCCCCAGCCCTAATATCTGTTGCAAAAGTCAGTCCACGGGCAGTCCTGTGAATGCAATCAGACAGTGAACTGTTCTGCTCACCACCTTCCAGCTACAAGCCTGACCTCATCTGGTCTGACGGGGAGTGGGAATGTCCTGATACTTACTGGAACTCCACCAATTTTCTTGCTTGGCTGTACAATGATAGTCCCATCAAGGTAAGTGTCCATCTGATTTCTTTCTTATTTATTTGTATGGAGTACTAATAAGGACAAGAGCAGCAAATTATATCAATGTGTAGTCATCGGGACTGGAGCACCTAACAAATATTAAAGGTTTCCCTTAATTCTACCCCCCAGGAGTATGTGCTTTCTTTTTCTCTTTTGGTTTTTGTTTGTTTGTTTGTTTGTTTGTTTGAGACAGGGTCTCACTATGTAGTTGAGACTGACCTGGAACTCACTTTGTAGCCCAGGCTGGTCTCAAACTCACAGCGATCCTCCTGCCTCAGCCTCCCAAGTGCTGGGATTACAGGCGTACGCCACTGTGCCCAGCTTTCTTTTTTAATTCTTGGTTTTGACAGCATAGGTCTAAGTAATGTTAAGTTCACTGATAGAGTAGAAATAGTATGTTGAATTCCTAGACTTGCTCTACTATGCAAACAAATATGAGAAAATATTCCAAAATTATGTGCAAAGCATAGACTTAGGTGATAAGCAATTACCTAAGATATGTCCATGGCTTCACGTACCCTACATTGATCATACAGCTTAACTCTGAAGGAACCAGGTCATTTCCCTTCCTCCAAGTTCTTGGCAGTACCTAGGCTACCCCAAGCCCCTCCCCTAGTCAGCACTAGCAGGAGAGGTCTTAATCTTCACTATGGAAGATTTAAAATTTTTTGACATATTTTAGATCTGTTGTGGATTTTAAAGAAAAATCTAAATATGAAACCAGTTTAGGGCATGGGAGTTTTAGTTCAGAGGTAGAGCACATGCTTAGCATGCCCAAGGCCCTGGGCTCAATCCCAGCACCAAGAAACAAAACAGTTTGAACTGAGGCACCGTGATAATTTCATAAACCACCAAGATTTTACTGGGTAGCTACTACTAAACTTGGAAAGTGGAAAGATATTTAAAAGAGAAAGAGACCCTATGTGGTAACCTGAGATAGATTCAAAGTAGTTTTCAGAAACTTGCTAGGCACGTAGAGACTCCCAGATGTGTGGTTGGCCCCGAGGTCATCTTGTCTGATAGATTGTCCTAACTGTCCACGTATCTGTGTTCGCAGCAAGTCTCTGCTGGGCCATTACGGGCAGATTTATTTACCTTGGGCACACCAGGGCCTGGCACAGTATGAGCCTCTTACAGTTGCTGAGTAAACAGTCACTGGATGAACGGATGCCTGATGCACCAAGAGTTAGGGTGATAAAACCCCATTTTTCTCTGAAAGGGTTTTCATATACCTGTTTGGTGTGTGGGCCCATGGAACTAGGGCATATCTGGGTTAGAGTCAAATGTACAAGAAGGAGCAGGGGGGAAAACGTGGGCAAAAACGCAGGGTTGGAAAAGAAGAAAATATCAATCCTGGTGCCATTAAAATAAAAAGCACAACTAGAGCCAGGGACTTAGGTCAGTGGTTCCTCCACCTGCCTCACAAGCACAAGGACCCAAGTTCGATCCCCGGTAACAAAAAAATAAAATAAGCACAACTAGTTGGGAATGATGGTAATCCCTGCTACTCAGGAGGCTGAGCCAGGAAGATCACGTATTTGAGACAAGCCCAGGCAACTTAATGAGACCGTCTCAAACTAAAAATTATAAAGCGGGTTTGGTTATAGCTCAGTGGTAGAGCCCTTACCTAACAATCCCCTATACTGGGAAAAAAAAAAAAAAAAAAAAAAAAAAAGCACAATACGCTGCTTTGGGTCTCTCTTAAAGAATTTCAGCTCCTGATGTGGTGGTGCACAAGGCTGAAACAGGAGAATCTCTGCAAATTCTAGGACAACCTGGGCTACATAGTAAGACCTTGTCTCAAGAAAACAGAATTCAGTTCCACAGCAGGCAGAACCTTTATTGCAGTCCTGTGTCTGCCTGTTTACACATTAGCTTTGCAGACAGGATTGTCAGAACAAAGACTAATTGGGAGCTGGCGCTGTGGCATGTGGTGTGCGAAGCCCTGAAGCTTCAGAATTGATGGTTTGGGCCTTGAAGACTGCTGTCTGAGGAGAAAGACACATTGCACTGTGGAATGATCAGTGTGACAGTAGAAATCTGCCCACGGTCTCCTCAATCTGGCGGAAGCATAGGGTCCTGGGTTAGAGCCTGTGACCACGCAGAAGCTGAAGGCCACGTCCACCCTCAGAGGACTGAGCGTACAGGGCAGGGCACTGAGCCTCTGAGGGCTCGGAGGACGGGAGGAGATGGAGACAGGGTGGAGGTGTTACTGACCGGCCGGCGCTCAGTCCTCTCAGACTCCAGCAAGGTAGGTGATCCTTTTCTTTTGGACTGTTTAGTTGTTGGGGTTTTGTTTTGGTTTGGGTTTGGTTCTTTTACAGACAACTAGACTTAAACGGTACTAATCTGCCTAAGACCTCCTGACTAGTAGGTGACTCTGAAAGCCCCGGCTGACCTCGGGTTGAACTTGAGTTGCCCCTTTCAGTTCTGAGACCTTGTGATGCCCAGACTTTGACAATGAGTCCAGGGCACTGGATCACGCCCGGGGGAAATGATGAATATTCTTCTGTTTTGCTTTGGCGCTCAACTTGTGTCCATAGGAAAAACTTCCATGGTGCTGTGGGTGACCCTAAAACAGGCAAAAAGGGGAGTTTTAAGTTTTAATTGTATCTCCTTTCACAGGATTTTCGGCAATTGCCTTGTATCGGCCTCTCTGTTATAAAATACACAGCTATACATTAAATATTTACATTAAGATACTCCATGTGACGGTTTCTTATAGTTCAGATAGGCCTGGAAGGAAGAAAATAAGTATTTGCTGAATTTTCCACCTGGGGAGAGAAAGTTAGGGCTGTGTAGTGAGAAGCTCCTGGGCTGAGTTGGGAGGCCTTAGAAACCAGGGGAGGGCCCAAGGGGAGCCCCTCTCTGCCTCTCTTCCGTGGGGTTTCCTAGGTGGTCTTGCACACAGGCTCCCCAGCTGTTGTGCTAGTTATCTCCATGCTGGGTTCTCAGCCTTAGCACTCTTGATATTTGGGGCCAGGTATTTCTTTGGTATTGGAGTGTCCTGTGCAGTGTCCCCCTGGCCCCTTCCCCTAGAAATCAGTAGCACCACCCAGGAGTGACAACCTGAAGTGTCTCCAGACTGCCAAGTGTCTGCCCCCTTCAAGGCAAAACTGCCCTCCCCTGGTCAGGAACCACCACTTTAGACTGACTGTTCCTCGCCGCCAAGTACACGGCGGCCCCACCAAGCCTTGTTGTGGGGAAGAGCTGGGTGGTGTTACTCCCGTGACCAGGCCCCTCTCGCCTTTAGGACGAGGTGGTAGTGAATGACCGGTGGGGAAAGAACTGTTCCTGTCACCACGGAGGGTACTATAACTGCCAAGACAAATTTGTGCCTGAGAGCTTGCCCGACCACAAGTGGGAGATGTGTACCAGCCTGGACAAGTGGTCCTGGGGCTACCGGCGCAACATGAGGATGGCCGACATCTTGAGCGAGTCTGAAATCATTGCGGTAAGGGCCTACTCTCAGCAGACTCCTAACTAAGGGTGACAAGTGTGGGTCCACAGACCCTCTAGGCTGTTGAACTTGCAGCCGAAGCCTGTCCTCAGGAAGTAAGTGTAATTACAGAGGAAAGTTCTACATTACAGATGGCCTCTCCACATTATTTACAATTAGACATGCGGGGGTTTCAACTTCTTACAGCCAAAGGGGGTAAGGAAGTCACTTAGAGGATTTCCTTAACCATTACAGTGTTGAGCACTGGAAGTGTAGCTCATGGTAGAGCACTTGGCTAGCATGTTTGAGGTTTTAGGTTCCATCTTCAGCACTGACTTTATAAAAGGAAGTTGTTGATATAATATGGGTAAATGTTTTATTCATGGAGTAAAAAAATGTAACACATTATTACTTATAAAATTAACTACATAGGAAAAAGACTGAAAGCAGATACCGAAAGTTAATGGTGTGGTGTCTATTGGCATACTGTAATGGATTCTTCTTTTTAAAACTTTCTGTATGTAACCTCAGTCTTTCTGGGTTACCTTGAAGTTCAGTGCCATGAGCTGTGCAGCCCTACAGGACACGCCTATGACCATTCCCTGAGGACCAGACTAATACCTATCTTAAGGGCTGAGGATTTAGCTCAGTGGCGGAGGCTGAGGCAGGAGGATCGCTGTGAGTTCGAGACCAGCCTGGGCCACATAGTGAGTTCCAGGTTAGTTTCAACTACATAGTGAGAACCTGTCTCAAAAAACAACAAAAAAAAAACAAACCCATCTTATAACAGCAGTTTTGATCTCTCATATGATCTTGTCCTGTATTTATAATGACAAAGAAAATAATTTTTTATCTTTTTTTTTTTTTTTTTTGGTAACAAGTATAGAATTCAGGACCTTGCACCTGGTAGGTGGGCATGGCACCACTGAGCTAAATCCCTGGTAAGAAAAATAGTTTTTCAATGACAGAGAATATTCACAAATGAAGAGCTTGCTCAGATTGTCTTGCTCGTGTGAATATCTGTGTATGCTAAGCATAGGGCGGGGGTTGTAGCTCAGTGGTGCCACCGCCTGCCTTGAAAGCTCACAGTCCTAAGTTTGATCCCCAGTACCAAAAAGCAAAAAACTAATCATTGCTCCAGGCTCGGCATTCACAGCTGGCCTTTCATTGTCTCTGCTCTCTAGGAACTGGTTCAGACGGTAAGTCTGGGAGGCAACTATCTTCTCAACATCGGACCTACTAAAGATGGCCTGATCGTTCCCATCTTCCAAGAAAGGCTCCTTGCTATTGGCAAGTGGCTGCAAGTCAGCGGGGAGGCCATCTATGCGAGCAAGCCCTGGAGGGTGCAGCTGGAGAAGAATGAGACCTCTGTGTGGTGAGTCTGTCGGCTGATGCGCGGCGCTCCCTTGGGTGCAGTGTGATGACCCAGGCTGCAGGCTGTCTTGAGGGAGCCCCCAAAACTGTTGTTTTGCTGTAAAATTTGTGGCCCCGTGAAGTTTTGGCTCAGGCCACCAGAGTGGCTTTGACTGGACAGGGAGGCTGTAGGTTTGGAGAAAAGGGAAGTTGCAGCAAAGTACTGAGTGACTTCGTAGTAACTGTTACCGTGCTTCCCCGCAATAATGGTAGTTAAGCTCGTGGAGCACCCACAATGTACAGGATCCATGCTCAGTTCTTTCCATTCATTCTTGGACTTCCGGATCTGAGTATTTGATCTTGGGCCTCAGTTTTCAACCACAGAATGGGCTAATATTTAACTTTATAGAGTTGTTTTGAAGACTCACTGAGATAATATATGCAAAGCACCCAGCAAGGCCAGGCATAAACTGAGGGTCCAGTAGAAGGTGCTGCTGATGTTACACTGAAGAGCTTCAGTCTCTGGATCAGGGCAAACTCACTGATCCTTCTATTTAGTGATTCTCATCTTTCCTTAACACGGTGCAATCTCAGGACAACAAATGTGTCTTCATTATATATCTTACCCTTGCTATATCCTCTATTTTCTCCTGGATTTGAAGTTGAAAAGATTTACATAAAGTAAATGGCTTCAGTGTGAAATAACTGATGTGAGAGTTACAGGAGAGAGCTTTGTAGGCTCCTTCCACCCTGCTTACTGTAACTGGTGTTATCAGTGCTTCCCAAGCACAGTGACAGGCACAGTGTCTTGGGTTTGGTAGTAATTGAAAAAGAAATGAGCAAGATTATTACGGTGCCAGCATTCTTAACAGTGATATTTCCTTTTCCCAAGGTATACTTCAAAAGATTCAGCTGTTTATGCCATTTTTCTGCAGTGGCCAGAACATGAAGTTTTATATCTTAAATCCCCCATAGCTACCTCTTCTACAAAGGTAAGGAGCCCCATCAGTTGTAAGATATACTTACCTCCTACTCTTTTGTTCTTGGGCAGGAGCACTGGAGATTAACCCAGGGCCTTCATACTGAGCTATATGTCTAGCCCCCACCACCGGCTTTTTTTTTTTTTTTTTTAGA